GAACCTTGTTAGACATTCAATATTTTAACAGGTTCTTTTTGAATGATCATGGTTATATTTAATGATATTTAGCCTTAGCCTTATTAGTACCATATAAATATATTTGACCTTTGTCCACTTTTAAGATTACAAGTGTTAAGTTAATACAGGGCTAGAAATTGATTTTGAAAACCACTAGTCAATTGGACAATTATGGCGGTCAGTGTGATAATTTCACCAACCCAATATTATTCTACTGATGAAGTAATATCACATTGTGGACAATGTTGGCGGTCCATGTGATAATTTCACCAACCCGATATTATTATACTGATGAAGAAATATCACATTGTGGACAATGTTGGCGGTCCATGTGATTATTTCACCAACGCAATATTATTCAACTGATGAAGTAATATCACATTGTGGACAATGTTGGCGGTCCATGTGATTATGTCACCAACGCAATATTATTCAACTGATGAAGTAATATCACATTGTGACTAGTTAACGAGGCTAGCAGTTTCTAGAACTGTAGTCTATCAAAAGTCTCAGACAATCACACCAAAGGTGACTGGAAATCCCATTATATACTTCGCCACTTGCAAGTAAGTGGGTTTTACTGTAGCTGATTGAAATTTATCTTCTGACAAACATTTCTCATTTCTGATATCTTGTGACATATATTGTCTCATTTCTGATATCTTTTGTCATATTGTCTCATTTCTGATATCTTGTGACACACATTGTCTCATTTCTGATATATTGTGTCATATTGTCTCATTTCTGATATCTTGTGACTTATATTGTCTCATTTCTGATATCTTGTGACTTATATTGTCTCATTTCTGTGTTACATTTATCTTACAGCTAGACAGGAAGACATGGCAGCAAACATCAGTGTTGTTTCCAACAGACAGGAAGACATGGCAAAAAACATCAGTGTTGTTTCCAACAGACAGGAAGACATGGCAAAAAACATCAGTGTTGTTTCCACCAAGCAGGACGTCATGGCAAGGGATATGCATAACTTAAAAGGTATAATTAAGATCAGAAACTGCTTTGAATGGTAGACAAAATTTCCTTGCCATTGCAACAAGTCATTGTGGTAGATGTACATGACTTATATATAGATTTGTATACCCCCCGCAACTCCTACTTCACCTAGGTTTATGTATGCCTATTTGATGCAACTTTGCACACCTGTTATACCTCAATTGAACTGGTGTCTCCCGAAAGCCATTATGTTCCTTCAATATTTACCAGAGTTATTGCCCTTGACTTCAGTAGACATTACATTAGGTTACTGAAATGGCAAATTATCTCGGAAACGGTAGGTATTTTGTATACACATATACATTGGAATATTGTAGAGATTAATGAAAGCTACTTTAATGACAACTTTCCGAAGTCTTGAGGTCAAAGTTCACAATTGAATTAAGATACTGAAATGGCTAATTATCTCAGAAATGGTAGATATTTTGTATATACATATGCAGGCTACATTGTGATAAATCTGAGGTCATCGGCTCAAAGGTCACAGGGGTCAAATATGTCAAACATTTCAAGTGACTTGATCTAAAGAACCGAAAGGTCAAGAGTGATATATTTGGCCAGTAGCATGCATAGGGGAAAGGCTATTAAGTTTGTTGAATTGATCATGAATGACTTTGACCCACTGTTACGCATCTTCGCTAGCCAAGGGTTGATCCGGTACGATCTACCTACTCTTCTACTGAAGAGTAGGTAGATCGTACCGGATCAACCCTTGGCTAGCAAAGATGACTGTTACGGTAAAAGAGGCAAATATGTTAAAATCTTTCTATATAGTTCTTTTGAATAGATGCCAAGTCTTCTGAATAATCAAATGTTCCAGAATGATCATGGAAAATAATTTGTTGAACTTTAAGAAATTTGAATTAAGTTGACTTGACTAGTGAATATACATGTTTATTATATTTTTCCAGGTGATCTGGCTGCTAAGAATGTCACAACAGCAAACACAAGCCATGCCAAAAGTAAGTTTGACAGCTGCAAGGTTGCTTGATCAGTAAAATATAGATATTATCTCCCTTTTCAATTAAATTTCAGTCAATGAAAACAGATGACCAGGTGATTTAGTGAATCAATTAAGTAAAAGAAACAACATGGTTATTTTGACATAACATTGATATAAGGTGTTTGTGAGTCAGAAGACAAGTTCCTGTACTAGTTCTCTATACATGTAATGCTAGATCTACTAGTGCACTACATGTATTATGATTCATGGTTTGGAAATAGATTTGTCAAGTTCAGATTACAACATGAGATTAATAATTAGTAAGAAAATTGTCTGTAATAAATAGTCTGTTTAAAACTCAATAAGCTATGCCTTACCTATTTAATATAAATTTCTTTACAGAAATCCATCCTGACCTAGAACCCATGATAGGTGAGTCTTATCTACTGGATTGGACATGGTTAGAGAAGAAATGCAGTACCTTGCTTGAATATATCAATTTTGTTCAAACGAATGGCTTTCATTGATATTCAGGGTTGCAGGATTCAGATGTGTTAAGAAATTCATTAAGAAGGTCATCGGGTCAAAGGTCACAGTAGTACTGTTTTTCTTTTCCATCGGTCTGTTCGTAAGACAGCTGAGGTAAGACTTGTCCATGAGCCTTGATCTTTCTATATTTTTTTCACTTGTTAATTTAGCTCCTACAGGTCACACAGCCGGAATACGAGGAATTTAAGTTGGCCCATAAGCAACAGTTCCAGTGATTTTGTCTAATCATGAAATATCGTCTCATGTTTGAGTGTGTGTTTCAGCCATGTAGAGTAAAAACAAAAATGTCATGTGATGCTTACTATAAACAGAATTTCATGTAATCGCTTTACAGAATGCATTTGTTATCTGACTCCATGTCTCACCTTTTTCTGCTGTCAAAACTTAAGACCAACCTTATTATAAATAGAATTTTGGTGATAAAAACTTTATTTATGTAACAATTATAAAACAAGTTGTATCAACTTATATTAATATTTTGTTGGCCCAGAAATTAGCCCACAGGGAGCCTTAGTGTGGGAGGAAACATGAAAAAAAAACCATTGTTGGGCAGGTGTCACTTTACCTATCCATGTACGATGAGGGTGTTGAACCCCTGTCATCTAGGTGAAACACAGACTTGCTATCTACTGCGCCATCCGAACACCTGAGTTTGGTGTCATTGCTCTTTATATTTCTTTCAAGTGCACATGAGTCAAATATGCTAAGCACTTCAAACGAGTCGCTCTTAAAATGCATAGAATCATAATATTTGGCTTGCAGCTGCTTTGGATGGAGCCCAGCAAAGTTTGCAAAGAAAATAACCTTGATCATTACAAGAAATAAATATGTCAAAACCTGTAAATGACTTCTTTTGAAGAACTGAAAGACATAGACTCTTGATATTTTACATGTAGCTTCCTAAGATGAGCCCAACAGTTTGGGAATAAAAATGAGCTTGATTTAGTTGCAAAGTCACAGGGATAAAATGTGTTATCATCTTGAAATGTCTTTTTCTGCATTTTCAAAATACTCTGGCTGATAATATTTGGCCAGATCTATGATAGAATCGGAGCCTATTACTTGTGTTCCAATGAATAGTCTATCCTAACATTCAAGGTCACAGGTCACATGATAGTTGACAAATGTTTAAAGGAGTGACCTTGACCCACTTTATAGGTCACAGGGGTCAAACGACAATCTCATTGACCAAGAGCCACAAGGTGATGATACTTCGGATTAAGAGCTACCAAGTTTGTTCAACTGAATTACTTTGTTAAGACTTTAAAGTCACTGGGGTAAAAATAGGTTAAAATCTTTTAACAGGTTGTTTTGAAAAACCAAGAGTCATAGGTAAGGATATTTATCTTATAGCTTTATGTAGGCTTTAAAGTGTTAGAATAATAGCAGGTAAATAATGTAGTCGATTGGGCCTCTTGTTTCTTTTAACGACTTCTTCTCACCCACCAAAAGGCCTAGGGTGGTGGTATTTTGCAAGTAGCAAATTGGGATGAAGAGCTACCAATTTGTTCAAATAAATGACATTTACCAAATTTCAGTGCCATTGGGATCAATTATTTAAAATATTTAATCAACAAATGGCCCAAGTTTGTTCAATTGAATGACTTGATGGCATCACAGGGGTCAATTGGCTTATACAAACTTTAAACACTTTTTCTGGATAACAAAAAGGATCAAGGTGATGATATTTTGCCTTTCACATGTTGTAATGAAGAGCTATTTACTTTGTTTAAATGAATGACCTTGCCGTATCTTCAAGGTCACAGGGGTCAAATATATCAAACATTTAAAGTGACTTGATCTAATAACCGAAAGGTCAAGAGTGATATATTTGGCCAGTAGCATACATAGGAGTTTGTTGAATTGATCATGAATGACTTTGACCCACTGTTACGATAAAAGGACAAATATGTTGAAATCTTTCTATATACTTCTTTTGAAGAGATGCCCAAGTCTCTGAATAATCAAATGTTCCAGAGTGATCATGGAAAATAATTTGTTGAACTTTAAGAAATTTGAATTTAGTTGACTTGAATAGTTAATATACATATTTATATTTTTCCAGGTGATCTGGCTGCTATGAATGTCAGAACAGCAAACACAAGCCATGGCAAAAGTAAGTTCGACAGCTACAAGGTTGCTGGATCAGTCGAATATTGAGATTATCTGCCCTTTCAATTAGATTTCTGTCAATGAAAACAGATAATCAGGTGATTTAGTGAATCATTTCAGTAAAAGAAACAACATGGTTATTTTGACAAAACATTGATATAGTTCCTGTACTAATTCTCTATACATGTAATGATATCTACTAGTGCACTACATGTATTATGATTCATGGTTTGGAAATAGATTTGTCAAGTTCAGATTATAACATGAGATTAATAAATAGTAAGAAAATTGTCTGTAATAAATAGTCTGTTTAAAATTCATTAAGCTATGCCTTACCTATTTAATATAAATTTCTTTACAGAAATCCATCCTGACTTAGAACCCATGATAGGTGAGTCTTATCTACTGGATTGGACATGGTTAGAGAAGAAATGCAGCAGATTACCCCTAAACTTGGACCAGAACAACATGCATCATCTAAAGAGATATGAAAGAGTCTTATACTTATGTTTGAATGAGAATCTTAGTTCACCAAAAGAGTAACTCTTTGATAGCCAGATTGATCCCCAATCTGGTTAAGTTTTTTCTTTCTCTGTTTCTATTCTCTACAGGGTAGGATCTAGCAATCAGTACATCAGGTCACATTCTGGTGTATTTTATTGCAGCCAATCATTGAAATGTCCTCCAAATAGTCTCAATATTTCAAACACATGTATTTATTGTGTAATTAATAATGACTTCTGTATTAAAAGGTCACCAGATCATGATTGTTGATGCCATGTCATCAGATCCTACACCGTTAATAATGTAGAGTAACAGAATAAAATATTTAATTGATACGCTCAGCTGGAACAAAGTACCAGGGTGAGGTTATGTGTTGGTGCTTCATCTGTCGTCTTCTCTGTCGTACCATCACCTTTTGATTTAAATGACAACTCCTTCCAAATCATAGAGCATAATTCAACCACATTTTAGCATCCTGAGGCCAAGAGATCAAAATATCTATAAATGAAGGTGCTGATCAGATGTGGGGGCTGAGGGATGGGTCAAAAGGGGTCAAATAGTTGAATTTGCTTAAAATGACATATACTCCTAAAATATAAAACAGATTTCAACTAAGTTGTACTAGCGTCAAATGTTACATGATATCATCACAAAATTTCTTGTTTACTTGAAATTTTCAAAACTCTTCCTTTACAAACGATTCCCTACGGCATTCTGTAATTAATATTCAACTTATAGATTATAGCATAAAAAGTATCATTCTTAACTATCCATTTAACATATTGATCACTTCTCACCCTTTTTTTCTATTTCTTTTTATACAGAATTAACCAGAGCCAGGATCAGAAAAGAAAAAGAGAAAAAGTTTTACCGCACCAAAGGTTTCTGTGATGCGAAAGACAAGCTCCAAAAGAACAGGGTTGTTGTCATCAAGGGAAATACGGGAGACGGTAAAACAGCAATCGCCGTTCAACTCCTTCATTGGCTGAGTCAGGAGCAAGGAGCCGGACAACCCTTACAGCTTTACAAGATTAAGAAATTAGATTTATTGGCTCCAAACTTAAAACTGATCACTTTTATTGATGATATTTTTGGTGAGAAAGATGTGTGTGAAAAAGATTTACATGAGTGGAACAAAAGAGTCTCAAATGTAAAAACCCTTTTTCTTGATGAGCAAACAGAGACAAATTTTCTTCTCATTACTGTTCGCAATGAAGTATTCAATTCTTTAGAAAAACGCTCTATGGGAACAATTTTTACCAAAGACAACTTAATTGATCTTAGCTCTGATACATACAAAGCTGAAGAAGAGAGAAAAAGACTATTAGAGCTGTATAAGCCAGAAAACTTTTCATGGACAGACAAAGAAAAAACACAAATTTTAACTTACGCACCAAACATTGGATTCCCACAATGTTGCCAGCTTTTCTACAATTCTGAAGAATTGCAGAAAGAACGAGTTAGATTTTTCGCTAAACCTTTTCATTTCTTGAATGAAGCATTGACANATCAATTTAATTGATGGTGAAAGTGACAGTACCAAATTGACGTGCAAGAAAAAAATAGGATTTGTAAAAGAAAGTTTAGAGAAATTGGTAGGATTTTTAGTAGTGAAGGAGAAACATTTGTCTGGTGAGGATGTGTACAGATCTAATCATGATTCTATTTATGTTGCTGTGGCACTTTTGTATGGAAAAGTCACACCGATTGGCTTCATACAGAATTGCCCCAACAAATCCCTCAGTTATCTAACAACCTCAAAAACAGCTACAAACATGATTGTCATATCATCTGATCATTATACAGAAATGTGTGAGCGTCTACTCCGAGAGTTTGAATGTGAGGAGAAACGATATGGTACTATTATTGGCTCTCTAGATGTATGGAATGATCCTGTATTTGTTAAAAGATTTGTGAGGTTTTTGAATGACAGAAAAGTTGACAAACTTGCTGTGTTGAATAAAGCATGTTTATCTGGTGCAGAAGAATGTGCTTTATATCTTCTGTGTGAGGGAGTAGAACCTGACAAGGAGACAGTGTTTAGTGTGGTGAAGAGAGGGAGTGTGAAACTGTTACGTAAACTACTGGAGTATGACGTCACCCCTACAGCGAGGGAGTATAACAATGACAATGTCCTACATGAGGCGTGTGGGTGGGGGAGAGAAGAGATGGTGACGTTGTTATGTGACACTTACCCACACTTGGTACTTGACACTAATTGTGTAAGACAAACCCCGCTCTATGATGTGACGTGGAGAGGAAACTGTTCTATGTTACAGACAGTGGAGAGGTGTGTACTTAACTCCTTATATAGAGTTGACGACCAACAACACAAGTGTGAGTCGGTAAATGGTCGTGTGGTTCATAGGAACTGTGTGTGTGCTCAGTACATGGCTCAGTTAGTGGATGTGTTAGGGTATACGGTGTTACATTATAGTTGTATGGTGGGTAACAGGTGGGGTAACAGGGAGGTTTGTTTATATTTATGTCGGTCGTACCCAGCACTAACTACAGCTGTAGATAAGTACGGCGGCCATTGTCTACATGACTTAGCTAGGAGTACATCAGATGTAGACTTGTTCACTGAGTGTGAATCTCATGTTAAACAATACCTAGAGTCTACAGGACGTAAGTATGACATCACAACCATACTTGACAATAAAGGGAAATCTGTTTTAGACAGAGCGGAGGAAGGGGCGGAGAAATGGGCGAAGTACCCGTGGACAGAAAACCACCCTTTGTTAGATCATCTTATTAAAGTGTTTGGTAAATAAAAATGATATTGATTTCTCAATGAAACGTGCAATTATAATCAACACAAACCTTTTAAAACAATCCTGTGCAAAGCTCATGGCATGATGATTTGTTTTGACGAGCACATTTTATCGGTAAATATTATAAATCGTGATGAGTTTTTCAGTCCAAATTTGCCGATCTTCTTTACGCTCCGTAAAAATACGGCCCGGGGGGGGGGGGGCCTCTATGAGGGGCGGGATTTTGTGGGGTTTTACTAAAAGACCTGAATGGAGTGGATCGTATCAGGTTTGAAATAATAATATGATGTTTTATTCTGTTATAAATATTACAAACATTGTCATGTTATATGTAATTTTAAATGTGCTGAAGCATTTTATTAAATGCTGTGGAAATATCTCTTCCCAAATGAATCCTCAGTAGCAGTAAACTTTGTGATAAATTGTTGATAAATCTTAATGATATAATGATTAATTGTCGCTAATTAATGATGATTAAACATGATGTCTGGAGTAAACAGTGTACAGTGAATTTCACATTTCATCTTAACAGACTTGTTAGCATAGTCATTTTAAGGTTACCTTTATATAAGATCCCATTTTGGAGTCACTGTTAACTCCTTTGGGGCCAATCAGACATGATAGATTCCTTTGACTGTTTCTGCCTTTAGGCAGGCCTCTTGTTCAGTTGTTGAGGTTATATGAGATGAGAAACAATAGTCAAACTCTGCAGTTACCAAAAAAAGATACATGTATAAGGAATGAGTGAAATTTTAGGTAAGCTCAATAATTTCTTTTTCTTTTTTACATTCTTGCACAATTGAAACGTAATAAAATAAGCAAATTCCAGTATGATTTTAAAAGCAATATCATTCACAGTTATTTTTTTTATTATTGTTTTTTTATTCTGTAGCGTATGAGGATTTCAAGTGAAAATTAGTGGCATGATTTCATACTTATTTCATGTTAATCTGTTGAAATTAACGAGGACTGTGATAAACCTGCATACAACAAAAAACTAACAAATGAAAACTGTTCAATAAAAATCATAACAAATATTTGTCAACAAATTCACTTGCTTAAAATGGTCAAAATTACTTTCTACGCGATGACTGTGATCCAGTGTTCTAACAAATATAACTTAAATACGCTTCATGGATCTGTAACTGAAACGAATGTTGATGATGTTTACATATATGTAAATGTAGAACAACTGGGCCAGTCTTTTACCATTGAGTAGCTATAGATAGCTCAGTAAGTTAGAGCGAAAGTATAATGATAGGGAGTCCTCAGGTTGAATCTTGAATCCTGGCCTGGCCCAGTTGTATTTGTAAACTCAATAGGTTAGAGCGACGGTATAGATTGGGAGTACTTGGTTCGGATCCTGGCCTTGCCTAGTTGTATTTGCAAAATCAATAGGTTAGAGCGACGGTATAGATCGGGAGTCCTGGGTTC